AATCCTTCGAACTGGATAGTCAGTCCGCCACGCCTTGGTGCAACCAGTCCAGTAACGGGTTGCAAGTTGATTTTCTGCAAAAGTTATATACAACGAGGTATCGTGCTTACCACTCAGTAAGATCGACGAGTATCATAACTTCCTGATTTGTATATCTGGGAAGAACATTATTAGCAGAAGCTCAGAAATCTGAGTTTTAGGGCAATTCTGTACAGGACTTTGTGCAACTCACTGTGATCTGTAAACAGAGTTTTGGTCCACTTCTGTCGTCTTAATGTTTTAGTCTATAAGGCTAATGGCTGTACATCGTTGCTAAAGCTATTTCTACTGTTGTTATGACCTGTTTTTAAGTATTATTTACACTCGTTTAGGCGTGGGCCGACTGATTGCCGAGTGCAAAGACATGCCTATTGTCCTTCCTATATATCACAAAGGTAGCGCATTTCTAACATACTTTTTGACGTGAAATTTTTACAATTAAATTTAAGTGCTATTGTATATATGTAATTCTTAATTTCTGATTACCCACATATATTAAGCCACATATATTACCCACATATATTACCCACACATTATAGATATATACATAGCTTATTTGCGAACCAAAGGATAGCTTTGTGATCACATTGTATTGTATATGGTGGAATTGTGAATTTCGTTCTTTTCCCTAATTTACTTTGCCATCCTCATGGTACACCCCTCGTAACCCCACTATTTAACGGTTGGTTCATACACTTATCTATGCCCATATCACCATCCATATCACGTAAATCCACCTATTCTTAAATTAGGGTCAGTTGTGAGAATATAAAATTTTTTATTGCGTTGTACAGCCGTTTATGAGGCTGCTAAAGTTATTTGGTTCTGCCAGCAATAGCGCCATAAATGAGGTGTTCTACATAAACAAATACTCAAGGTGAATCGCTTATACGACTCATATGAATTATAAACGAGAATAAACTATTTCATAAGTTTCCTAGTCATAAGTGAATCAAAAACCCACGATTCTCAATTAAATGTAAAATTATATTTTTTTTAAAATATTTTGTTGCATTTTGTGATTTTTTAGTGCTTAGTGAAGCCAGTGTGTTTCAAGCACATTGAAGTGCAACTAACGCAGATCCTGTAGCCGCTACATGCATACAAATAGAAAATGCTGCATACAGAACTTCCGTGAGCAAATGACGTATCGAACAAATATGCCTGATCAGATTAATGCATCCACTATCATCTACTACTATCACTCTCAGTAACTGGATATTGCATTTTCTCTTCATCGGTTTTTTAGCGACACCTTTCATTGTCGAAATCATATGGCTCTGGTCTTCGTAGTTAGCTTGCTCAGTCGCCTGCTAGAGTGAAGAACGGTTAAATTTTTGTATTCAGAAACTTTCATAGAAGCAAGAGTAACCTTTCTTTTCAATAGTAGCACTGTACCGTCTGATTTGTCTAATGAATATGAACCCATTGGGTTAAAAAAGTTTAAGTAACTTGTTACTTTTCATCACGGTCAAGGATAATCTTTAAGAGTATCTTCTGTTCCAGGGGACCAGGTGATAAAAGACGATGTTTCATCAGCGTCACGGTACAGATGGGGTTTAATTTGATCGTTCCTTTGGGTTCAGAGCAGGCTGATAGATCACTCCTGTAGTAAGACTGCTGAATGTCTCCGTTGTTCTAATATCTTCACATCGAAATGTTATCTAACTTAGGTGTTTAATTGGACTAAATCAGTTTTTAGGTATGAATTTAATTCTTCCCGAAAAGAAACCTTACATCCCCCGCGTCGGCAAGGTACATCAAAGTTCTAGAACAAATGGATACAAATACATGGCCGTAGTTTAGAAAACAGTAATTTACGTAGGTCAGCCAATCGACCAGAAGATTCTCGATCATGTCCGGCAATCTGTACAGAGTTTGGTACGTTGTTTTAAAAATATGCGTATATCTCTGTAATTTACTTTCTTAGCAGGAGCAGCGAATCATATTGACGAAGATCGTTCAAGATTGTCTTTACTCCCTCAAGGCGGTGGTGGATAAAATTTAAAATCTGTTAACTGAGGTATTGTTTCGATTCGTGTTTGTGCAGTTACTCTCGCGCGTAAATTATTAGCAATATTTTTCATTGCTTAAGAGATCGACGATGAAGTTATACACTGAAACTGTTTCTTTCCCAAATGTTCTACCCGATTTTCATGAAAAATAGTTAACTGTCTCTTTTTCGGTCGGCCTACTTTACCAGTTTTGACTTGATTACTCCTAAGTTCGTCATTTTTTGCCGGGAAGTATATGCAGAGGAGAACGACTCTCAATACCGAGTCGATACATTTGCTGTCACTGGTAATATTTTGTGAAAGTCATTCAACCTGTGCCCACTGACGCCGGCCCGTAGCCGAAAATTGTTCGGTAACAGAATCCGGTTGACCAATAATGTGAGACTATGACGAAGCAATTACTGTAAAAATGAAGAATGGTCGATACGATATACGCTAAAGATTTAGTTCTGAGCACCTAGACTTTGATATGAGGTAACAGACTGACACATGATGTAAACCATGAACCTTGGCCGGCAGATGAATAGGTAGACAGGAAGTGTCGAGTCAGGTGTAAGAATTATTTTTACCCGTAGAATTCCATTTTCAAATTCCCTACTGCACTTAATCAGTTATTTTGAGCCGCCTTAACAAAAGGCTGGATATGGTTGTCATCTAAACAGTAGGCCAAAACTGCTGCTCTTGCAGGATCATCGAATAGGGTGCCTCCAACACACATGCGCAGAAGTACATGCCGTAGAAATGACTGACCAGATTCGCTTTGTCAGTGTAGACTATACTGAGTGGCGCTGCTGTTAGAGAGATAATGACTGTCCTGATGTTGTACACGTGAGAACAAATGGCTTTTGCATAGATCTCTGATGAATTCTTTCCGGTTAGCTGTATGCTTTTTCTCACAATCTGGGCTCAGTTGCACTATTTTGTTTTGGGATATCTCTAACGAAAAAGTAATAATGACATCAACTTTATGGCACCATGAAAATAGGTGTAAAATGCATTTCAGTAATTGCACCATCCTTTTCAGATATCAACTCAGAAACGATGTTAAGATTTATTGTTGATGTCTATGCCAAAGTGGCGGAGGGCAACAGTTTCAACTTAAGACAGCCATCCCTTGCTCATCTTGGAACCGGACATGATGGTCATCACGCAGGCGTATGTGATATTAAGTTGAAAGGAATGAGATCGAGACCGCTTTGCACTTGTTAAAACATCATGCTTGAGTCGTTATCAACAGAAGCTTACTTTCCCTGAAGTGTCTTTGCGATTCTAAACGTACCACTGTTGAACTTAAATGAAGCATGTAAAATGAAGAGATTTTTACTTTGCAAGTAGAAATGTTGGATTTAACCACTGCAGACAACGCTGAGGCTCATGAATTACCAGCACTGACGTGAAAAACGGGATTGATTGGTGATTCTGTTCAAGCAGTGGAATATGCATTCATTCAACCAGACGTTCTCTTTTATAGACTAAACTTCTTTAATGTACAAAACTGGTCATTTTTATAGTTGCTTTTTAGGAATAGTTTCGCCGAAGCCAGTTGTATATCATAGTCCGTCGGGAGCCGAGTCTAGACTCTTAAGGATCGAAGATGATTGAACAATTGGCAGTATACTCTTACACTGATTTCCTGCTGCACTACTCCAGACAATGTTTCAGAAGAGAGTGTACTCTTTTGTTATATGCATGCAATGCATATACTGTTAGCGAGTATTTTTGTTATTAACCGCCGTAAAATTGAAAAAGACTTTAAGGGTTGTAGTAAAAAGTGCAAAACTTTAAACGCCCTGAAGCCAAATGTGCGCTTATGTTACAGTCCATAAAAACTATCGGAAAACGTCGAGGAAAAACTGTTGCCAACGAGGAGACAGTTGCGCGACCAACTGCATCGGACCAAACCACTTCTGTTGTAACCGTCGATCGCGCAACTATCGTCATAGAAACTATTTCGGCGCGGCATCGTCGACGATGACCGCTGTGGCAGTAGCCGGGGCAGCGGTAGCATTGGGCTTCACCTCGTCGTTTTTCTTCTTGCCCTTCTTCAGTCGCAATGGCGCTTGGATCCGCTGCCACAGGTCTTTGTTTTCTACGCTGTACTGTGACTGGTACACGTCCGAGGGTAGCGGCAATCCCGTGATTTTCAGCAGGCCAGAAGGAAGTATCAACACGGTTGTTTTGAACTGTGCGACATATTCGCCCTCCCGTTCATAAAGTACCTACAAAATCGTCATTTCAAACCAGCCTGATTATTTTACATCAACTCAAGCTGTTGAAATTCAGTAGGTAAAGGTGATTGAAATAAGATGTCATAGAATGTTAGGTGAACCGTTATGCTAATAATCAACTTTGGCGTAAAAGAAAGCAAAAAACAATACCTGCATATCCATAATGAAAAATGTAGTTTTC